CGACACACCACAGTAACTGAGCATGACAGTACCACACCACAGTAAGAGCCAGTGCCAAGCCACAGTGAGCCAGACAGTGCCACACCACAGTAAGAGCCAGTGCCAAGCCACAGTGAGCCAGACAGTGCCACACCACATTAAGAGCCAGACAGAGCCACTCCACAGTAAATGAACCAGGCAATGCCACACCACAAAAGATCCAGACAGTGCCACACCACAGTAAGTGAGCTAGACAATGGCACACCACAGTAAGTGAGCCAGACAATGCCACACCACAGTAAGACCTAGACAGTGCCACACCACAGCAAGTGAGCCAGACAGTGCCACACCACAGTAAGTAAGCCAGTCAGTGCCACACCACTGTAAGAGCCAGAGACCGTCACACCACAAGAGCCAGACAGTGCCACACCACAGTAAGAGAGCCAGACAATGCCACACCACATTAAGAGAGCCAGGCAATGCCACACCACAGTAAGAGCTAGACAATGCCACACCACAGTAAGTGAGCCAGACAATGCCGCACCACAGTAAGAGCCAGACGGTGCCGCACCACAGTAAGTGAGCCAGTCAGTGCCACACCACTGTAAGAGCCAGAGACCGTCACACCACAAGAGCCAGACAGTGCCACACCACAGCAAGAGAGCCAGACAATGCCACACCACATTAAGAGAGCAGATAATGCCGCACCACAGTAAGTGAGAGCCAGACAGTGCCACACCACAGTAAGTAAGCCAGTCAGTGCCACACCACTGTAAGAGCCAGAGACTGTCACACCACAAGAGCCAGACAATGCCACACCACAGTAAGAGAGCCAGACAATGCCACACCACATTAAGAGAGCCAGACAATGCCGCACCACAGTAAGTGAGCCAGACAGTGCCACACACCACAGTAAGTAAGCCAGTCAGTGCCACACCACAGTAAGAGCCAGAGACAATCACACCACAAGAGCCAGACAGTGCCACACCACAAAAATGAGCCAGATAATGCCACACCACAGTAGGAGTCAGACAATGCCACACCACAGTAAGAGCCAGACGGTGCCACACCACAGTAAAGCCAGACAGCACCACACCACAGTAAGTGAGCCAGACTGTGCCACACCACTGTAAGAGAGCCAAACAGTGCCTCACAACAGTTAGAGCCAGACAGTGCCGTACAAAAGCAAGTAAGAGAATCAGACAGTGCCACACCACTGTAACTGAGCCAGACAATATCCGCCACAGCAAGAGCCAGACAGTGCCATATTGCAGTATGAGAGCCAGACAGTGCCATATTGCAGTATGAGAGCCAGACAGTGCCATATTGCAGTATGAGAGCCAGACAGTGCCACACCAGTGAGCCAAACAGTGTCACACCACAGTAAGAGCCAGACAGTGCCCGCAACTGTAAGTTAGCCACACAGTGCCACACCACATTAAGTAAGAGTCAGACAGTACCACACGACAGTAAGCAAGAGCCAGACAGTGGCTCACGACAGTAAGTCAAATAATGCCGCACGACAGTAAGAGTCAGACAGTGTCACACGACAATAAGTAAGAGTAATACAGTCCCACACCACAGTAAGTAAGTCAGATAATGGCACACCACAATAAGTAAGAGTCAGACAGTGCCACAGGACAGTAAGTCAGCTATGCCAAACCACAATAAGTAAGAGTCAGACAGTGCCACACCATAGTAAGTAAGAGTCAGACAGTGCCACAGGACAGTAATAGTCAGATAATGCCTAACGACAGTAAGTAAATCAGACAGTGGCACACGACAGTAAGTCAGATAATGCCACACGACAATAAGTAAGAGTCAGACAGTGCCACATGACACTAAGTGATTCAGATAGTGCCACACAACAATAAGTCAAGGAATACCACACGCCAGTACCTAAGACTTAGACAGTGTCACATGACACTAAGTCAGAGTCAGACAGTGCCATATGATACTAAGTCAGAATCAGACAGTGCCACACAACAATAAGTCAGAGAATATCACACGACAGTACCTAAGAGTCAGGCAATGGCACAAGGCAGTAAGAGTCAGACAGTGCCACACGGCAGTAAGAGTCAGACAGTGCCACACGGCAGTAAGAGTCAGACAGTGCCACACGACAGTAAGTAAAAGTCAGACAATGGCACAAGGCAGTAAGTGTCAGATAATGTCACACGACAGTATATAAGTAAGTCAGACAGTGCCACACGACAGTAACTAATGTCAGCCAGTGCCACACGACAGTGAGCAAGAGTTAGACAGTGCCACACGACAATGAGTTAGACAGTGTCACACGAGAGTGCCTCAGAGTCAGACAGTGCCACACGGCAGTAAGAGTCAGACAGTGCCACACGGCAGTAAGAGTCAGACAGTGCCACACGGCAGTAAGAGTCAGACAGTGCCACACGACAGTAAGTAAAAGTCAGACAATGGCACAAGGCAGTAAGAGTCAGACAGTGCCACACGACAGTAAGAGAGTCATACAGTGCTAAACGACAGTAAGTAAGAGTCAGGCAGTGCCACACTATAATAAGAGAGCCAGACAAGTGACCTACCTTATCAATAACTACTACAGCACTAAAACAGCGAGGCAGCTAGAAGCAAGGCAATTACTATGTGGAGATTAATTTGATATTGATATTGATATTGAAACAGTTTATTTAGCCATAAGAACACAGACACAGAGTCGATGAAAAATCCTAATATTAACATGGATGAGCCAGTTGAGAGCCAGAGTTCTCTTGTAGGCACCTGATATATACTGTACATTTATCTCAAGGAAGTATTATCTAACATTTAGTATCATCTGGAATAGTACACATATCATGGAGGTAATAAGAACATATCAGAATGTTACCACGGTTATCACTTCGATATTTATTTATTATTATTTTTTTACATTTATATTATAAGTATATACATAATTTACAGTGGATATTGAAAAAAATAAATATGATAAGGGAGGGAAGCAGTACAACTTGGGTTGTATTAAGGTTGAACAAAAGGAGAGAGCTGTCAGAATTATGTCTAGTTGGCAAATATATTTTTTGCAATGTTAAATTCTTATCTATCCACATGATAATTTCTGATAAAACGATTTTGATGGTACCATAAAAGCAAGTATATAAAGTAGGCATTACAAAAAATATTAATACTTAGACAATAAATATTTTTAAGAGATGATTTAAACTTTTAAAGGAAGGGAGCGTAGTCTTTGCTCGAATGGGTGGGGGTAAGTTGTTCCACACCTTCACACCGGGATATTTTATGGAGGTCTAGGACTAAGAGGAGCGCATGGGGGGGTGGTCTTAATAGCTCTTGGTGCCTTAAGTTGTATCTCTGATTATTCTGGGACTGGAAATAATTGTTGTCCAGCAAGTGATTGACAGATTTGTAAACAACGACCCACTGTTTACGTTATCAGCTGTAGAGGAGGTTAGAACATGTGCCCCACCAGGAGGAGGCAACATGGTGGTGAGACAACAGTTATAACACAATATAGACTCACAACACTTAATGAATGACATGGAAGGGTCTGGATCACTCTAACATCAGAACTATCATATCCACAGGCATTAAATCCGTATGAACGCATATTTGACTTTTAAAACGCGAGAATTAGCAATCTCAAAAAACATTAACTGAAAAAACTCTAATAAACTTCTATTTGTTGGCAGTGAGGTGTGTTGTTGTCGCAATGTTAAACCTAACCTAAACCACCTCTAAAGATATCACTCCCCCGCTTCTGCCTGTAAACTATTATTTCTTTATATACAGTATATATATTTCCCTCAACACCTCCTCCGTCCAAGTGGTGAGGTGTGAGGTATTGTGTTAACAGGAAAGGTAAGATTTGCACTGTGCTGCGTCTGTCCTACCCACGAGTAAGAATTCTTCAGGCATGTGTGTGTCTGTGTGTGAAAGAGAGATTTACAATACAAACTCCTCCCACTCATAAGACACACACAAGGTAACTCAGAACTTCGTAGAGATATAAGCAAGATAGTCGACAAGGGATACTGTAGTATACACAATGTGGCGGAACTACAGGTACAGTATATATTTTTAAACGCACAGGAAAAAGAAAAAAAACAAGGTAATAGTAATCATCTAATATCTTTGTCTCGCATAAATTCCAGCACTTTCCTGCCAAAGGGATGAGTTTGTTGAAGAGACACTGACCTAAGTGACTCAACACTTCTGGCAAGTGTCAAGCAAGATTTTTACAACTCCACAGCTTAAATTATTCCCGTGACTGGACATGTGAGTGTTCGTGTAACTGTCGTCTCTACACTACGATAAAGGATGGCCGCCTTGCACATTCCATAACTACACTGAACCTCTACCATAACATAATACCCCCACCGCCGGTTAAGAGAGTATTTCAACCTAGAAATTTTTGAGAATCCGAAGCTACAGTGTTCCCCATAACTAATTAAAACTAACACACAGAACTTGGAGGGTGTGCCCCATGTATAACAAGCTCATCAAGAGTGAGTGTTGGACTACGCACTGTGGTGACCAGTACTGTCAAGCACAACACAGCTTTGGGCGAGCTAACACCTACACACCACTACTGGTTCACATTGTCTAAGCTTCACACAACAACTGAAGACTTATGAACGCTCCAAAACGGATAAATTAAACAAATATTCAAAATTGAGCTTTGAAACTGATAAGTGTCTACCTTAACAAAATCCATTTACTGAATACCATTTAACAGTACATAAAATATTCCAAAGGATTCTGTACCTTCAACACCACTTAAAATACACTTGTGTACATTCCTTTGTCTTCAATAGTGAGCAATATTCATCTTACGAATCTGTATGAGGAAGTGGTCATTGGTTATTAACAGCTTGTGAGTGAGTGGTGAGGTAGAGTCAAGTTAATCACCGTGATGATGCAGCGAGTGGTGAGGTAGAAGTCAGTAAACGTACTCATCAAGATACAAAGAGTATTTGTGACAGTGAGCGAGTGACCGGTGAGGCAGAGATTAGAGAAGGTACTGTACTCACCATGATGATGCAGTTGGCGGCGATGATGACCCAGCCCCAGCCACCGTCGGGAGGCACCAGGCTCTCGGGCCTCACAAGGCGGGTCGGGGGACTCTTCTTGCTGGAGGCGCCATCATCCCCTCCCTTCTTCACTCCACTCACCTCCTCGCTCGACTCCACCCATCCCCCACCTGTAGACAGTCAACAAATACGAACATTAACACGCTGGCTTAACATCGACCATCAGAAAAAAATCTCCGGATCACCCATCTTGTTCCACGTGAATATTAACCAACCTAACGCTTACCTAATATAAGCAAAATGCCTAACATAATCCAACCAACCTAATGCTAACCAAACATAATTAAATCGCCCATACGCTGTGTGTGTGTGTGTGTGTGCGTGTGTGTGTGTGTGTAATAATAGTAATAATAATAATAAACGGTTTATTAATAGAGTTGCAGCCAGTGGCTGAAAATATACAGACTTACATTTGATTTAGACATAATGATAAAATATGCATTGAATACATTTACAGGGCTGTACAGTACATAAATCAGGAGTTGTTTATTATTTTAACAATAGATGGGATGGTGCTGTTCTTATATCTATGGGTGCAGGCTCTTATGGGCTGAATTTTGTAGTAGTGGCGGACTGCGCAAGTTGGGTGGGGGGCTGCAGGTGGCAGGAGGTGGCGATGGCGAGGGTGGTGCAGTAGTACACTGCCAAACCTTTCCAGTACTTGGTGGTGGAGGTCACTGAGGGATCGCATTTCCAGGGTGGAGAGAGCGTTGGTTTAGCCGGAGTATTCTGCGCCCAGCATGATTCTGCAGGCCCTTTTCTGTACCTTCTCTAGCTGACGTTGTTGGGTGGAGTTGAGAGAAGACTACCAGGCTGGTGACGCATACGTTAGTTTGGGGAAAATAAAGGCGTTGTAGATGGTCCTCAGCTCTGGCGTGGGTGTCCCAGGTGACCCAAGTCTTCATAGCATGTAGAGACGGTACGAGGCTGCCTTGACTGTGTTATTTACATGGGCCTTCCAGTCAAGTTTGTTGTCTATAGTTACACCCAGTAGTTTGGCAGACTGCACCAGCTGGAGAGGATGGGCACCCACTGTGACTGCTGGGGCTTGCACTGGAGTGGTGGCGGTATTGGTGTGCATGACTACGGTTTTGGTGTGGTTGATGGTGACCTTGTTCTCCGTAGTCCATGCCTGTAGCCTGTCCAGGGTGCCTTGTAGCGATGAGTAGTCTGGTGCGGTGTTGTCCACTGAAACCCCCACAGTGCAGTCATCCACGTACTTCCACCTGTGAGGAGTGTCTGATAGAGCGTCGTTGATCAGGATGAGGAAGCACAGTGGTCCCATCTTGGTCCCCTGGGGAACACCGCAGGTGAGGTGTTGGAATGTGGAGACCAAGCCCTGATACCTCACTGCTTGGCGACGTCCACTCAAGAAATCATTGAGCCATGAGACCAGGTTGGTGGGCAGCCCTAGTGCAATAGCCTTGTTGATAACAGCGCAGTGATCAACAAGGTCAAAGGCCTTCCTGAAGTCCACAAGGGCAAGGGCCAGTGATGTCTTACGTTTCTGCAAGTTTTTGTGCAGAAAATCCAGAAAGCTCACCAAGCAGTGTGATGTAGAGGAGGTCCTCATATTGCCAAATTGCTGTGGATTAATTGACTGATAGATACTGGCAAATGCCCACTCAAAAACAAAGTCCTCACAAAGTAGACTGGGTATGGGGGTAATGGCAACTGGCCTGAGGTCGTTAGGGGACTGTGGGGTGGTGACCTTGGGGATGGGGGTGACAAATGCGGTTTTCCATTCATTAGGGCATTTGCTTTGTCTGAGGGATGCATAAATAATAGAACAGAGGGAGGTGGCAAGTTCGATTGCAAACTCCTTGTATATTTTGATTGGGAGGTCAATTGGTGTCGTGGAGCGTTTGGATTTAAATTTCAGGAGTTTGTTGGCGATTTCATATGGTTGGACACTGGGAGGGGGGGAGGGGGAAGGTAAGTAAGCTGGGAGGAGAGTGAGGTCAAGACTGGGTAAGGTATGACATATGGTAGCAAAATGGCTATTAATTATCTCAGCTGCCTCCTCACTAGGGAAATGTGAGATGAAAGGAAGTGTGGGAGACTGACGGTTGAGACCACAGAGATCTTTTACCTTGGAGTACCACTGACCGATGCCGACTTCCTTGAGGCCGTGCACTTTCCTGGGATAATAAGTCTTCTTGGCTGACTTGATTTCCCTGATGACCTGGTTACGTGCAGGCAGTTGTTGGTGTAGTATGCCTTGTTGCGCTGCTCAATTAGTCTTTTTATGCGGGGCGTAATCCACGGGACATCATCGGGGTGGATCCTCAGTGTTTTGGCTGGAAAGAAGTGGTGGTAGGCTTTGGTGATTGTGTCCAGGTAATTATCCCACTTGTTCTGCACATTGTCTACCGTGATCACTTCAGTCCAGGGATACCGGGTTATCCATTGTCCAAAACGCCGCATAGCAGAGTCGGGGGTGGGTCGGTAAGTCCTGGTGGCAACTGGTGGTGGTGAGAAGGTGGGGGTAGGTGACCACAGCAGGGACAGGTGTGGACTGCGTCCCAGGGGAGGCAGCGGCTGGGGGGGGAAGGTAGTGGTTACCGAGATCTGTCATAATGAGGTCAAGGGTGGCATTGCCATGTGTAGGAAAGTCTACTATTTGTGTAAGGTGGAGGTGTGTGTGTGTATATAATAATAATAATAATAATAATAATAATAATAATAATAATAATAATAATAATTAACGGTTTCTTGAAAGAGCTTGGCAGCCAGAAGGCTGAAAATATACAGTTACATATTTGGGGAATGGGTTTCGAATTACAAATAATATACAAGTAACATAAGTGATACAAATAAGATATATAATAACTAGATGGGGAAAAGCTCAAACTACAGTTCATTTCAACATAGTGACAGTGCAAGGAGTAGTGTTTACTGGGAGTGAATACACTGGTTTATTACAAGTTATTGATAATTTTTACAATGGTTGGGACTGGGCTGTTCTTATAGCGATCAGTTCGTGCACGTATGGGCTGGATGCGGTTGTGGTGTCGAACAGCAATTCTTGGGCTAGGGATCTCAGGTGGTAGTAGGAGCCGGTGTCGAGGATGGTGTAGAAGCTTCTTACCAAATTTGCAGTGAGAGTCGAAAGGGTCAGTGTGTTGAGCGCTTCTTGATATGTGGAGTAGGAAGGGGAGAGAATAATCTTGCATGCCCTCTTTTGCACTTTTTCTAGGTGTTTACGTTGTGTGGCATTTAGGGAAGAAGACCAGGTGGGGGAGGCATAGGTGAGCTTGGGAAGTATGAATGTTGTGTAAACACTGAGGAGCTCAGGTGCAGGAACTCCGAGGGACTTGAGTCGGCGGAGGAGGTGGAGACGGAAACTGGAGGATTTGACAACTTCACTGACGTGTGGTTTCCAATTTAGTTTGTTGTCTATGGTGACGCCAAGGAGCTTCGTGGAATCTACAACCTGGAGTGTGTTCGGACCTAGAGTAATGGAAGGAGGTGGGACAATGTCGGAGGAGAGGTTGATGTGCATAACCATGGTCTTGGTATGGTTGATGGTGACATGGTTGTTAGTGGCCCAGTTTTGGAGACTGTTCAATAAATCCTGAAGGACGGTATAGTTGGGAGCAGAATTGTTGACGCTGATCCCAATGGTGGAGTCGTCGACATATTTCCAGCGAGCAGGGGTTTCTCTTAGGGCATCATTGATGAGCATAAGGAAGCAGAGTGGTCCCATCTTGGTGCCTTGGGGGACGCCACAGGTGAGTGACTGAAAGGTGGAGGCAGCCCCTCGGAAGCGTACAGCTTGGCGTCGGTCACTGAGGAAGTCTGTAAGCCATGGTATAAGACTTCTCCGAAGCCCGAGGTCAATAGCTTTGTTGATGATTATAATGTGGTCGACTAGGTCGAATGCTTTAGTGAAATCAATGAAGGCGACAGCTACAGACGTTTTTCGTTTCTCGAGATGGCGGTATAAGTAATCGAGTAAGCTGACAAGACAGTGAGTGGTGGAGGAAGTTTTCATGTTGCCAAATTGCTGAGGGTCTACGACTCCTGCAATATCAGCATAAACCCAGTCGAACACAAAACTTTCACAGATTAGGCTGGGTATTGGGGTGATTGCAATAGGTCGTAGCTGATTTAAGGAATGTGGGCTGGTTGACTTGGGCACTGGTGATACATAAGAGGTCTTCCAGTCAACTGGGCATCTGGCTTGACTGAGAGAAGCATTGATGACAGAGCATAGGGGTTTAGCAAGCTCCGGGGAGAACTCCTTGAAGAGTTTCATTGGTAAGTCAATGTGGGTGGTAGAGCGTTTTAATTTTAGTTTGTCCAGGCGTTTTGCTACTTCAAATTCTTCTACTAAGTCAGTGGGAAGGGGGGCTGGTAGGTAAGGAGGGAGAGTGGTTGTGTCAAGCCGGGGGAGCGTCTGGCATATAGTAGCGAAATGGTTATTTGTTTGCTCAGCTGCATCAACATTAGTGAGATGGCTAAGGAAGGGGAGGGGGTGTGTCTTATTGTTTAGTCCACAGAGTTCTTTAAGCTTACCATACCATTGACTGATGTTGGTCTGCTTCAGGTGTTGTGATTTGATTGGGTAATGGGACTTCTTTGCAGTGCGTATTTCGCGGATGACTCGGTTGCGAAGGGACCTGTAGCGGATGTGGTCATTGAGATGAAAGGCTCTGTCTCTCTGTTGCATAAGTCTTTTGATCCGAGGTGTGATCCAGGGCAAGTCAGCTGGGTGAGATCTGACGGACTTCTCAGGGAAGAAGTGGTGGTGAGCTTCCGTGGTGGTGTTGGTATAATTTATCCATTTGGTTTCCACGTCATCCACGCTAAGTACTTCAGTCCAGGGATGGTGAACTATCCACTGCCCGAAGAGGCGCACTGCAGAGTCAGTAATCGGCCTGTAGGTCTTGATGTAGGGTCTCTGTACTTGAGTGGGAGTGGCAGCTGGGGACCAGAGCACTGATAAGTGTGTGCTACACCTGATAGGAGGCATTGGTTGAGGTGGTTGGTACTGGTCCGCTAAGTCAGTTAAGATAAGGTCAAGGGAATTTTGACGGTGTGTGGGGAAGGTCACAACTTGTGACAGTGATAGCTGGTCCTGGATATCGGTGGTGTCAATTTCATTATAATCCCCACATAATACTAACTTGGCACATGGGTACCTAACTCTGAGATGGTCTGAGGTGGTAATGAGATGATTGATAAGAGTGTCTCTGGTGGGTGAGCGAGGCGGATGGTATGCCACACAGATTATGATGGAAGCAGTGTGGCGCGGGTGGGCTGGTGGCACAACACGTATCCATAATGCTTCCACATCTGCTGGGACTTGAACATCCAGGCGTGACGGGCGTAGGTCATCTTGACAGAAGAGGGCAACGCCCCCTCCGCGTCTATGTGAACGAAGGTGATGAAAGAGTTGATATCCCTCAATATGACACGTTTCAGGCACAATTTGCCAAGCCTCACATATGGCAACGACGCTCGCGGCGGCTGACCTGACTGTAGTTGCCAGCTCGTCGAACTTGTTAGCTAGGGAAGTGACGTTGGATAGCAGTAGAGACGGGAGATCATACCATATCCGTGGAACTTCAGTGTAGTGGTACGGTCTGTCAGGGGTGGGTTTCTCCGGTTTCCTAGTGGAGGTTACGGTTCTAATGGGCTTATGTGTATGACGGCCTTGTCTACGGCTACGCGCGTGGAATATGTTCAGTGACTTGAGTCGCGCGATAACACTGCCATCAGGATAACCTTTCCCACGCTTTAGATGGTACAGAGTGCGTCGGGAGTAAGTGATTGGTGGGCATCTGTTGATATCTGTTGTGGGCGGACAGAAGTGTTTGTCACTGGCGGCACTTTGAGGGCCACTGACACTGGTAGACATCTGTTAATATTTGTCAGTCGTAAAGACCGTGGGTCTTTGTCCCTGGTGCTTGGGGTCCGACACAGTTTTCACGATATATGTAAACACCGCGGTGGTCCTTGTCACTGGCACTTTAAAGGTGACCGATAAAGTGCCCACTGTGTGTGTGTGTATGTTTGTGTGTCGTTAATTATGGAAGTGGCATAAAGAAAGAGTCACAAGTCTTCTTAGTTCCTCATTAAAGAAAACATACAGTCTTCCATAAAAGTATTTATAAATGAACACAATAACACGTGCACAGCAGTCTAGGTTCAGTTGGTATTTCTGATTGTGAGTTGCACCTTTCATTCATTCTTCTTGCACCTGATAATCACCATGATATCTGCAGTATACCACCTATTCTCTACATAATGTAATGAAATAGGATGGATTGTGATACTATATGCAAAACCAATACTATCTTGAGACACCCCGCTGATTTATACACCCCAGATACTATTTCAGCCCCAGAGGATGGGATGCCATTTTTTTTTACGCGAATAGCCCACCCGGGCACAGGTCATCGACCCACATCGGGGCCTAGAGGGAGAAAATAGAACAGTAAAAATAAATTAAAAATAGAAAAGAAAAATATTATATTAATCTACACCACGAAGATACAGGAAAACCAGCTTTTTGAAGAGAGACAGATTGCATGAGTATGGAAACACAGAAGAAGGCAGAGCATTCCACAGTTTGGTTTGTGAGGGAAGAAGGATGTACTATAACGAGTTATTCTCGTGTGACCGACATCCACAGAGAAACGGTGGGCACCGCGGGCAAGACGAGTGTTACGAGCCCACGGCCTTGCCGACGGTACACAGGATGCCAAATCCACCGAACGTTGCCCGATGAAGTACCTGTAAAAGGGAGAGTGAAGCAACATTGCGGCGAAGAGAAAAGGAAGAAAGATTATCAACTAAAGGAGGAGAGTTAATAAGAAGAAATGCCACCCCAGATATGAGAGCATTACTCAGAGTTAGGACGAATGATTCCCTTATATACTTGAAGCAACTGCTCAGGAGTGAAGTAGCTACGGCATCTGCACAGCATTCCCAGCTTTCGGGAGGCAGCTTTAGCCGAGGTTACAATGGAATCGTTTCGAACGAAATATGAAACACAATGATCAGATATTACATTAATTTGCATATACCTGTAAAGTAATTACAGGTGTATTATGATGCCATAACCAATTACAATGACATGATGATTTACTGCATTTCGATATTAATTCTATCTCAATGGGGTAACAATTTTGAATATAACGTATCCTCTCATGATTCGCTCTGGCAACGGAACATTATTTGATACACACGATGAGACGATGTCTGTAGGTGCAAGCTGTGTTTTCCAATGAGTCTCGGGTACTATAGTGCGTTTTATCTCGGCTGAGAAGAGATGCATCGTCCCTTCCTCAAGAGTTACAGCTGATTGGCTGTTGCAAATCTGTCCGATTTCGTCCTGGAGTAAGGATGTATTTCTAAATGAATTTATTCATAATCGTTGGGATGACCGTTTCTGACGAGAAAGATATTTAGCTAAATTATATAAAGATACATACATTCATTATTTCAAACAGGAGCACGTAGGAAGTTTATCAGAAATCTTATACACGAATTAACTGTTAAACTCTGGTAGCAAATTCACGCTTTCGGAGGACGCATTTAATATATACTTATTTTTACCCACAATAAGATATACTGAGGCAAATTACTTATCAGTAATACTACATTGTGCAAAAACTAATTTTTTTAAATATCATAATCACACTGAAATATTACACGGCCGTTAGCAGATGCGGGAAATATGAAGTTGTTCGCTGTCATAATTACAATTACTGATCCGAAATATTCGTTCATTGTGACACACTGTATGATGAGAAAAGGGGCAGATACTTTTTTGGGAGTGTACACCAATTTTGAGGGTAATCTTATTCATTCTAAAGCCTAATTTAAAACTCGCAAACTAATACCTCCAGAGTTTCACCGTCAGGATGCTGAGCTGGATAGTTTATGCAATTTTAAGTTCCCTTGTGATTTTGTATATTCTAAACGCCTCTTTTTAAGTGAGTGGCCGAACCAGTGAAAATGGCTGGCACAATGGCATGTACCGTCGGTAAAGTTAGCTGTGGTGTAAGCAAACTCTTCTTCTTCGTCTATTTATTATTTATTTTCAAAAAATTGAATGACAACCATAGATTACACTCACCTACAGTAAGAGAGGGTGGTAGCATCCAAGGATCATAGACAAGTAAGGATAGTTCACCTAGCACTTGTTTTACCCACAATGGACAGCTCCGTGACGTCAATCTTGTAAACACATCATCTGGTGAGCTCCGTGTGTGCCCGAGTCTGGTCCCCGGACCATTGTATTAACAATTATGGTTATGCGTGCAATATACAGGTGCAACAGCAAAGCTCAAATCCCAAACAGAGGCAGTATTACAGATTTCCCAGAGATAAGAAAACTTGTGACATTAGATAAATGCCTCCAAGCGTTCTGATGAAACACCACATTAGGCTAGCTGAGAACTTGTTTGAAGAGAGTTCATATTTCTTTTGTATCTCCTTAATTTTGGAATGTCTGTCGATATCTAGGTATCTACAGGAAGGTGAAACATTCATCTTGTTATATGTGGCCAAAAAGAACTCTGAACATTTTCAATAATTTTGAAAAAATGAAAGTGCAGCGGTAAGTGGGTTACAGGTGTCAACACCGCGCTTGTTTCAAGACGTGAGGGAAGATTTCTTGTAGTTTCTTAATTCTGCAATATCAGTCAATATCGGGTCATCCAGAAGACCGTGAGACCTTGTTCTTTCCACGTCTGACGAAAGAAAACAATAATATTGCCCAAAATACAAGAAAAACCAGTTACATCATATAATTCACCAGCGACAGTCGTGATGCTTAACATCTAGAGAAACCTGCTGTTTTCTTAACTATACATTGTAAGGCAACATCCAGTTGTCAGAGTACCCTCAGACATTCACCTTGCCTCGACTTGCAAAAGAAAAATCTTTATATTGCTAATAAGCTCAAGACATGAGTTGTTTCGTCCATGTCATCAGCGAACCGCCGCCCCCCCCCCCTCCTGTCGTCTTGTAATATTTTAATATTTTGCTTTTTTTTTGTAATATCACTTATTTTTTAGAGGATATCATAACATAAGGCAATTCATTTGTTATACCTGTAATAGCCCGTCACATAGACAGTAATACTTACTGTATATAAATGTGGTCTACATACATTTTGTTTATATAACTACATCAACCACGTCACTAGCCTATGACCAGAGAGTAGTCATAACTATACATGTAAGAGTGTTATTCCACTGGTCGCCTTGACTACGTGGGTCAGCAATTAAGTACCCGGCTTCTACCCAGTCTGTCCCAGTCTCTCATCCACGTCAAACGTGTGTTCATGAAGCTCAATACACATACGCTTCATCCTTTATTAACGCTCACAGCTCATAGCATTAATTATGGTGATATCCTAGTTGTTGTGCAATACTGTATTTTCTTGATAGAGAAAAGACCATTTGGGTTTGAAAACCTAACCCATGAACTTTTATGAATTTCACTTCCAGAGTACCTATAATTCTGATTCTACGGGGTCTTCATCAGTGATTACAACAGGTAAACGGAAGGTAAAATACCTGGCCACAGAAAAGCCTAAGCCTTATGAGTCTTCTCAAAAAATGAAACAATCAAATGTCAACCAAGGCAAGGCCATCACCATCTGTGACTGCCCCCAACTCACCAGATGACGTGCGTCACTTGCATGATGTCATTGAACGGGGCAGAGCAAAGGTTTATTACATTACTGTGGTTTGTCCTTACTGTTTATAGTCCTTGGTAGCACCTACCTGCAAGGGGTGGGGTGGGAAGAACCGACCTGCAGGAGGGGTTGTAGAACCTACCTGCAGGTGGGGGTTGTTGCACCTATTTGCAGGAGGGGGGTTGTAGAACCTACCTCTAGGAGAGGGGTTGTAGCACCTACCTGCAGGAGGGGGGGTTGTAGAAACTACCTGCAGGAGGGGGAGTGTAGAACCTACCTGCAAGAGAATGCCTGTAACACCTACCTGCAGGAGGACGCCTGTAGCACCTACCTGCAGAAGGGTGCTACCAGCAGGAGGGGAGGTTGTAGAACCTACCTGGTGGGGGGTTAGAATTGTGGGTCTTGGCGTCCATAATCATTGTGACGGGCCACCAGCGTGACCAACGTGGGGGCGTGGTGGTGGTGCTGACGATGATGTAGACAAGGAAGACGAAACCCTACACCATGCGCACGCTGCTACCACAGTCCTGCCCCTCACCCCTCTCTCTCACTCACACACACACTTATTCTGAAAAAAAAAGATGAAGGGTTATTTGTTAAATATTTACGAACACAAAGCTACATCAATTACTTGCAGGTACACTGAGACATATTAGTTACGCAAACTGACAGTCAAACTGAAAAGGGAGATTTTATTGGTAACTTGTACTTAAGGCTGAATATTACTGCCAATAGATATAAGTGTGTGGAGGGGAAAGGAGCTTCACCACCAATGTGGAAAATGTTAAAGGAGAAAGATGGAATATGAGGAAGTACAGTTAGGAAAGATGGAAGATAAAGGAAAGATGGGAATATGAGAAAGACGGTGAAGACGTGTGTGGAAGATGAGGAGGACGGGGAAGACGGAAAGATGGTGTGGGAATATGGATGTGAAAGACGGGTGTGTGGAAGATGGAGGTGTGAAAGACGGGTGTGGAAGATGGGGGCGTGAAAGATAGGTGTGTGTGGAATATAGAGGTGGAAAGACGGTGTGGAAGAAGCAGGTGTGAAAGACGGGTGTGGGAAGATGGAGGTGTGAAAGACGGGTGTGTGGAAGATGGAGGTGAAAGACGGTGTGTGGGAAGATGGAGGTGTGAAAGACGGGTGTGTGGGAAGATGGAGGTGTGATAGACGGGTGTGTGGAAGATGGAGGTGTGAAAGACGGGTGTGGAAGAAGCAGGTGTGAAGATGGGTGTGAAAGATGGAGGTGTGATAGATGGAGGTGAGCAGGGTGTGTGGAAGATGGAGGTGTGAAAGACGGTGTGTGTGGAAGATGGAGGTGTGACAGACGGAGTGTGTGTGGAGATGGAGGTGTGAAAGACGGGTGTGTGGAAGAAGCATGTGAAAGACGGGTGTGTGGAAGATGGAGGTGTGATAGATGGAGGTGTGGAAAGACGGGTGTGTGGAAGATGGAGGTGTGACAGACGGGTGGAAGATGGAGGTGTGACAGACGGTGGAAGATGGAGGTATGAAAGACGGGTGTGTGGGAAGATGGAGGTAAGAGGAGTGTGTGGAAGATAGAGGTGGAAAAAGACGGTGGTGGAAGAGAGGTGTAAAGACGGGTGTGTGGAAGATGGAGGTGTGAAAGATGGTGTGGAAGATAGAGGTGTGAAAGACGGGTGTGTGGAAGATGGAGGTGTGAAAGACGGTAAAGATGGAGGTGTGATGATGGAAGATGGAGTGTGTAAAGACGGTGTGTGGATGGAGGTACAGACGTGTGGAAGATGGAGGTGTGAAAGACGGTGTGGATGGAGGTGTGAAAGACGGGTGTGTGGAAGATGGAGGTGTGAAAGAAGATTGTGTGTATGAAAGATGGGTGGAAGATGGAGGTGAAAGACGTGTGGAAGATGGAGGAAAGAAGAGGTGTGGGAAGATGGAGGAAAAGAGTGGAAGATGGAGGTAAAAGACGGTGTAGATGGAGGTGTGAAAGACGGTGGAAGATGGAGGTGGACAGGACGGTGAAGATGGAGGAAAGACGGTGGATGGAGGAAAGAGGTGTGTGGGGAAGATGGAGGAAAGGTGTGGAAGGAAAGACGGTGTGGGAAGATGGAGGTGTACAGACGGGTGTGGGAAGATGGAGGTGTGAAAGACGTGGATGGAGGTGTGAAAGACGGTGTGGAAGATGGAGGTGTGAAAGAAGATTGTGGAAGATGGAGGTGAAAGACGGTGTGGAAGATGGAGAAAGACGGTGGGAAGAGGAGGTGTGAAAGACGGTGTGTGGATGGAGGTGTGAGACGGGTGGGAAGATGGAGGAAAGACGGTGTGGATGGGAGGTGTGAAAGACGGAGAAGATGGAAAAGACAGAGGTGTGGGAAGATGGAGGTGTGAAAGACGGTGTGTGTGGATGGAGGTGTGAAAGACGGGTGTGTGGAAGATGGAGGTGAAAGAAGATTGTGTGGAAGATGGAGGTGTGAAAGACGGTAAGTGAAGATGGAGGTGAAAGACGGTGGAAGATGGAGGTGAAAAGAAAGTGTGGGAAGATGGAGGTGTGAAAGACGGGTGTGGAAGATGGAGGTAAAAGAAGAGTGTGTGGAAGATGGAGGTGTAAAAGACGGGTGTGGGAAGAGGGTGTGAAAGAGGTGTGGAAGGAAGGTGTGAAAGACGGGGTGTGGAAGAAGGAGGTGAAAGACGTGTGTGGGAAGATGAGAGGTGGGAAGGGATATGAAAGACGGTGTGTGTGTGGGAAGATGAGGGAAAGACGGGTGTGAAGATGGAGGTGTGAAAGACGGTGTGTGGAAGATGGAGGTGAAAGACGGGTGTGGAAGATGGAGGTGTGAAAGACGGTGTGGGAAGATGGAGAGGATAGACGGGTGGAAGATGGAGGTGAAAGACGGTATGTGGAGATGAAGGTGGAAAGAAGAGTGTGGGAAGATGGAGGTGAAAGACGGTGTGGAAGATGGAGGTGAAAGACGGTGGAAGATGGAGGTGTGGACAGACGGGTGGAAAGATGGAGGTGAAGACGGTGGTGGGAAGATGGAGGTGTGAAAGACGGTGTGGGGAAGATGGAGGAAAGAAGAGTGTGTGGAAGATGGAGGTGTGAAAGAGGTGGGAAGATGGAGGTGAAAGAAGAGGTGGTGGGAAGATGGAGGTGTAAAAGACGGGTGTGTGGAAGATGGAGGGGAAAGACGGGTGTGGTGGAAGATGGAGGTGTAAAGACGGGTGTGTGAAGATGGAGGTGATAGGAAGGGGGAAGATGGAGGTGAAAGACGGGGAAGATGGAGGTGTAAAAGAAGGTGTGAAGATGGAGGTGTAAAAGACGGTGTGGGAAGATGGAGGTGAGTAGACGGGTAAGATGGAGGTAAAAGACGGTGGGAAGATGGAGGGATGAGGAAGATGGATGTAAAAGACGGTGTGGAAGATGGAGGTAAAGAAGAGTGTGTGGAAGATGGAGGTGTGAAAGACGGGTGTGGAAGATGGAGGTATAGACGGGTGTGGGAAGATGGAGGTGTGAAAGACGGGTGTGTGGGAAGATGAGGGAAAGACGGTGTGGAAGATGGAGGTAAAAGAAGAGTGTGTGAAGATGGAGGTGTGAAAAGACGGGTGTGTGGAAGATGGAGGTGTGAAAGACGGGTGGAAGATGGAGGTGAAAGACGGGTGTGGAAGATGGAGGTGTGAAAGAAGAGTGTGGGAAGATGAGGTGTAAAAGACGGTGGAAGATGGAGGTGTGGAAGACGGTGTGGAAGATGAGGTGTGAAAGACGGTGTGGGAAGATGGGGGGTGAAAGACGGGTGTGGGAAGATGGAGGAAGACGGTGGAAGATGGATGAAAGAAGAGGAAGATGGAGGCAAAAGAAGAGTGTGTGGAAGATGGAGGTAGAAAGACGGTGGAAGATGGAGGTAAAAGATCGTGGGAAGATGGAGGTAAAAGACGGGTGGGAAGATGGAGGTGAAAGACGGTGGGAAGATAGGTGTAAAAGAAGGAGTGTGGGAAGATGGAGGTGGAAAGACGGTGGTGGGAAGATGGAGGTAAAAGATATGTGTGGGGAAGATGGAGTGTGAAAGACGGGTGGAAGATGGAGGTCAAAGACGGTGTGGAAGATGGAGGTAAAAGAAGAGTGTGTGAAGATGGAGGTGTGAAAGACGGTGTGGGAAGATGGAGGTGTGAAAGACGGTGTGTGTGGGAAGATAGTGTGTAAAAGACGGGTGGTGGAAGATGGAGGTAAAAGAAGGAGTGTGTGGAAGATGGAGGTAAAAGACGGTGGGAAGATGGAGGTGTAAAAGAAGAGGTGTGGGAAGATGGATAAAAGATGGGTGTGTGGAAGATGGAGAGGGAGACAGGTGGGAAGATGGAGGTAAAGACGGTGTGGAAGATGGAGGTGAAAGACGGTGTGGAAGATGGAGGTGAAAGACGGGTGTGTGGGAAGATGGAGGTGTGAAAGACGGGTGTGGGGAAGATGGAGGTGAGAGACGTGGTGGAAGATGGAGGTGTAAAGAAGAGTGTGGAAGATGGGAGGTGTAAAAGACGGTGTGGGAAGATGAAGACGGGTGGAAGATGGAGGTGTAAAGACGGTGGAAGATGAGGTAGAAGACGGTGGAAGATGGAGGAAAGACGGTGTGGAAGATGGGAGGTGTGAAGACGGGGTGTGGAAGATGGAGGTGTGGAGAGACGGGGTGTGGAAGATGGAGGTGTAAAAGAAGGAGGTGTGGAAGATGGAGGGGTAAAAGACGGGTGTGGAAGATGGAGGTAAAGACGGTGTGGAAGATGGAGGTGTCAAAGACGTGGAAGATGGAGGTGAAAGACGGGTGGGAAGATGGAGGTGTAAAAGAAGAGTGTGTGAAGATGGAGGTGAAAGACGGTGGGAAGATGGAGGTGTAAAAGACGGTGTGGGAAGATGGAGGTGAAAGACGGGGGAAGATGGAGGTGTGAAAGACGGTGGGGAAGATGGAGGTAAGAAGAGGGAAGATGGAGGTGTAAAAGACAGGTGTGGAAGATGGAGGTGTGAAAGACGGTGGGGAAGATGGAGGTGAAAGACGGTGTGTGGAAGATGGAGTGTCAAAGACGGGTGGAAGATGGAGGTGGAAGACGGTGTGGGAAGATGGAGGTGTGGAGACGGTGTGGGAAGATGGAGGTGAAAAAGACGGTGTGTGGAAGATGGAGGTGTGAAAGACGGTGTGTGGAAGATGGAGGTGAAAGACGGTGGTGGGAAGATGGAGGTGAGAGACGGTGGAAGATGGAGGTGAAAGAAGAGTGGTGAAGATGGATAAAAGACGGTGTGTGTGGAAGATGGAGGTAAAAGACGGGTGTGTGTGGAAGATGGAGGTGTGAAAGACGGTGTGTGGAAGATGGAGGTGTGAAAGACGGGTGTGGAAGATGAAGGTGTGGAAGACAGGTGTGTGGAAGATGGAGGTGTAAAAGACAGGTGGGAAGATGGGTGCAGAAAGGGTGTGTGGAGAATGGAGGTGTGATGGGGCAGGTGTGTGGAAAGATGGAGGTGTGTGAGACAGGTGTGTGTGGAAGATGGGAGGTGGAAGATGGAGGTGTAAGACGGTGTGTGGAAGATGGAGGTGTGAAAGACGG